TCTTTCCCTCCTTACTTACCCCTATCCTCCACACCCCAGATGAATCACGTACTCTGTTCCTTTGATCACCTCCACTGAGTAACAGTTGACTATTTTACAGCACTGTTACTTTGTGGATGTCGAAGCACTTGATGAGCAATAATCCTTTGGGTCCTAAGTATAACTTTATTGATTGTCCAGAAACACCCTGAGTACTGGCACAATATAAGTTATATTAACTCATCATCTATCTGCCTGAGGTGTGATATATCTAAACGTTATTCACGTATCAGAAAACGTTTGTTGAACACCTACTGTGTGCTCGGCCCTGTGGAAGGAATAGGAGAGTAAGGTGGACACAGTATCTGACCTTGGGATGCCTGTGGGTATGAGCCTTCGTGGAGCTTTCTGACTTCATGGTCTTGGGGACCAGGTGTGGGAGATGGGATGAGCTCAAGAGATGATGCCAGGCCGTGCCAGCAGGCACGAACGTATCCAAATGCCCACGTAGATGGCCTGAAGTAGCCAAGCTGGAAAGGACAAGTCATAACATGAAGACGGAAGAGTTGGTCAGAAGCCCGGAAAAACAGAATGCGGCACCCAGATAGGAGTTGGGTCATAGCAGACGAGGGCAGTCATGGCAGCTGAGTGGACACAGGGTGCACTGTGTTCAAGGGAAGGTCGCAGGTATGGTTGGCTTGGGAAGGATCTTAAGGACGCAGGTGCCGACTGCCATATCTCACACCCATGTCTGCTGGGTCAGGGGAAAAGAGAGGGCCTAAAAGGACTTCCAGCTTCCCCAGCCACTCATGAGCTTGAGGTAGACTGCCAGTGATAACCAAGCTTAGCACACTGACGTTTGGTCTGGAAATAATGTAGATCTAAGGATCCCCAGGAAGCTGGGTAGCCTTGAGGCTTGGTCTTCAACCTCATGGGCCCATATTCTGGTTTCCCAGGGGATTCGTCACAGACCATTAGGAAATGGGGCGCTACAGGAATGGGGTGAGCGACTTCCACAAAGAGGGTGCAAATCCTATTCTAGGAGACATCCAGAGCTGATGCTGTCTGGAGTCCTCATACACCATTGGGGTGGGGCGTAGAGAGTGATAAGGGGTGGGAGGAAGGAGAGGAATTTGGGGATGGAGGCGGAACTCTGTAAACTCTGCCACTTCTCTTTGACAGTCCGTTTGGATTTCAGAATGAGGCCAGGTGGAGGGTGAGGGGTGCGGGAGAGGAAGCAGGTCCGAGGCTTGGGGACGTAGCCCGTTCCCCCCCGCCCAGCTGTAGACCAAGAGCAGATGAGCTGTTCCTGGACCAGGGTGCCTCTGGGGGCTTCTGTCTCCAGAAGACAATTACACCTAGGTTTTGAGGCTCCCAGCTGTGGCACACGTTTATTTTCTCTTCCACGGGCTGAGTCTTGGTTCATTTAACAGCACGGCTCTCTCTGTAACACACAAAGCTTCTGACACAGGTGGAAAACCATGCCCTCTTTTTCTGATCAAGAAAAACTCGGACATTCTGGACGTGGTTCTCTCGACGGGCTTCACGAAATGAAGGCCTCACTTCTTTAGTCTTTTCTCCAAATGTCTCTGAAACACCTCAGGGGACGAGGTTGAACGGGACACACCTCACAGGGAAGCTAAAAGAATAAAGGCACCTTTATCCAGTGTTTCTGCCCATCTTTTTTCCTTGTTTGTATGTCACTGTGTACCGAAGGAAAAGTTTTGGGGTAGGCCCAGCATTCTGTGCTTTCCCAAGCCTTCCAGGTGACTGGGGTGCATGTTGACATTTGGGCAAACGCTGGTGTAGGGCTTTCCTCCATGGAGAATCAGGCCTGTGGTACAGTGGCCAGCTGAGTCCGGCAGGTGGGGTTCAGTCCATGGGCCTTGTCCCTCCTGGTGGAGGTGGTGGTGTATCTAGGCCCTAAGGGGTGAGTAGGATATGCTGGAAGGGCATTTTACAGAAGGGCCAAGAGCTGGAAGAGCCACCACTGCTATAAGCCCCCATCCCAAAGTCTGCTTGCCTTGGAAGGAGATTTGAAACTGGCTATTGTCTGAAACGGATTGCTGCAGGGCCCAGTGCATGGGCAAGGACTAGCACATAGTAGGTGATCAATAAATTCTCGTAAACTGATCCCTATGGCATTAGGGAAGCTTGGACAACGTTGAGGTGGAGAGCTTGTTGTCATGAGATTTGTTGAGATAGGATTTGAATACAAGTTCCTTTCTCCTCTAGCTTATTCAGGGTTACTAATAAACATTTTCAGAGTTGCTGAGAATTTCTTGCCACTCAGCATTTAGTCTTCGTGTGGGCTCCCTTCTTTTTCTGTTAGCAGCAGCTGTGCAGCTGTGCTCTGTCTCTGGGGACGGTGTCTGCCGGTGTCCACAAGGTTAGCCAGTAGCATCTAGAGGGTGACCTTATCCCCTTGGTTTTTTTTTGCTTTTCTCTCTTTCTTTCCAGATTCACTCATAAAAATGAGTTTGTGTTCCAGAGCAAGGAGCCATAAACCCAGAATAGAAAGTTCCATGTTTTATCTCATTTAAGGGCTGGCAGAGTTACCCGCTGATGTCTTGTGGGGAAACCTTCTCAGGCCTCTAATTAACATCTCTCCCTCACTAGGGAAGGAAGATTAATATTTCCTTACATTCTTTTTTTTTTTTTTTTTTTTTGGTATGTGGGCCTCTCACTGTTGTGGCTTCTCCCATTGCGGAGCACAGGCTCCGGACGCACAGGCTCAACGGCCATGGCCCACGGACGGGCTCAGCCGCTCCGCGGCATGTGGGATCCTCCCGGACCGGGGCACGAACCCGTGTCCCCTGCATCGGAAGGCGGACTCTCAACCACTGCGCCACCAGGAAAGCCCCTCTTTATAATCTTGCATAAAGCTGGGAGGGCTTGGGAGAAAAAGAATGTTGCTATTTGGTATGTGCTTAGGGTCTTTCTCCGAGAGGCTCAAAATGCGCATCGGTTTCAGCACATTACTGCTTATCCCATGTCCACTGGGGGGCAAGGATGAGACCTCGGAGTCCCACAGTGGGAGACACTGCCGTCCAGAGATGGGGGAGGAGCAACCAGGGTCTGTGATGTGCTGGGAGGGAGAAAAGGAGAGCGTGGACCATGATTTTCTTTCTTTCCCTCCCTCCCTTCCTTCCTTTCTTTCACCTTAAAAAATTTTTTTTAATCTTTTTTTTAAACTTTTAATTTTATGTCGGAGTATAGCCGATTAACAATGTTTTGGTAGTCTCGGGTGCACAGCAAAGTGACTCAGCCATACACAAACGTGTATCTAGTCTCCCCCAAACTGCCCTCCCATCCAGGCTGCCACATAACATTGAACAGAGTTCCCTCTGCTATACAGTAGGTCCTTGTTGGTTATCCATTTTATTGAATAAATATAGCAGTATGTATATGTCAATCCCAAACTCCCAAACTGTCCCTTCCCTCCACCCTTCCCTGCTGGTCGCCGTAAGTTCATTCTCTAAGTCTGTGATGGACCACAGATTTCAATATGGTTACTGTCCTAGTTGTTCCTCTGTGGATCTGTGGCCTCTCACACGCCCTGATCTCCCGTGTCCCCCAGTGACCATGTCCGCTTCCCAAGAGCACTAGGTGAGGTCGTGCGTAGGTGAGTGCAGCCCTTAGGTGACTTGTATCACTGTGCCGCGTCGCAGAGCTGGCCTTCCTGCTTGTCTAGACTTTCCTTCTTGGAGTGAAGAATGACCAGCACTGACTTCCTTTCTCTCTCCTTGTCTCAACCAACAGTCATTGTGACAAAATTGTAGCACAATAAAAATGTGAGGCATTGAGAGAAAAATGATCACAGCAGAGGCCAAGCATGAAACTGTGCTAGAAAGTGGCCGGTTCTTATCGAAGTTGCCATCATTTTCTTTTTTTTCCTGAATTCTTTCTTTAGCAAGATTTCTCTATCCACAGTGGCTCTTTGGTGAGTGTGCAGATTATCCAAGCCAACACCCCTTTCTTTCACGGGGACCCCACTCTGAATGTCCTCCCGGGGCTTCCTGAAGTTTAATGCCTTCTCGTCTCAGAACTCAGACGTGACTGAGCACAGCGAAAACCCACGGATTCCTTTTCACCGCATTTCATCCGAGCCTAGGAAGCAGAAAACAAGCTTGAGTAGAATCTGGTCATTTTTATACCCGCAGGACAGCAGAGTCAGTGGGAGGTGGGTACCATGCTGGGGTCCCCAGAGCAGAAATGTGACTCTCGGCAGCCTGTACTGATTTTTGTGTTCTGACTTGAAAAGAGCTGCCCTGAGCTCCGATGTGAATGTGGGTGCAGCGTCTGTCCGCAGCCTCCTGCCCACACCGTTCCCTCCTCTCCCCACCTCCCAGGGTCTGGAAACATCATCCTTCTGGCACGTTATCCACAGGGCTTACCCTCCGTTGCTCTGAGGGGGTGCTTGCCGTGTCTCCCCTTGTCCTGGGATGATGAGGCTTCCATTAAACACACAAACAGAAGCTCAAGTCTCAAGTAGGTGTTACTCAACCGATTGCACCCTTATCACTTGTGAAAAATGCCAGCACAAGAACCATCCAAGTCACCATCGACTGAGACCTTGGCCAGTTCCCGGGAGGAGGTGTCACCACCCTCTTTGTCAGGCGAGGCCGTGGGAGCTGCTCAGAGGACCAGCGTGTGCTCCGGCCATCCTTCTGCTTGGCCTCCGGCCTTGCTGGGTCTAAAGCCTCTTGCATCCCAACGTGGAAAACAGCTCTGTAGGAGCTGTGGGGATAAAACCTAGCTAGGAAGGATTTGGATTCTGGAAACTCTTATTTATATGACCACTGGGGAAGGGACTGATGAGGGCTCCATGCTGGGGATGATGCATCAGGAAAACGGTCCATGATTTTTTTCTCAAA